CAAGGAACATATATAACAATTAACGTGGTAGTATAAAATGGTAGATGATTAATGGAAACCTACTACCAAAKTGGTAAAACTCTAGTTAAGGTAAACATTAGTTCACAAATCAAGGAACATATATAACAATCATTATCAAAGTGGTAGTATAAAATGGTAGATGATTAATGACGAGGGAGGATGCGGGAACCGGGAAGAAATAGGATTAGGAAATTGAAATTGTGAATTCGTACTCATAGACTGGACTGGAGGAAGGAGAAGATGCATTTACTTTTTTTATTTCACAGCCCAAAGCCCAAAGCCCAAATTCATAAAAAAAATATATATATATAAAACGGGGACGGGGCGGGGCGGGGAGTGCTATACCCGTCCCCGTCCCCGTCCCCGGCTTGCGCCAAGCGGGGATCCCCGTCCCCGTCCCCGAGACCCGATTTTTCGGGGAATCCCCGTCCCCGACGGGGGCGGGTGGACCGGGTTACCCGACGGGTCGGGGTCCATTCCCATCCCTATTGAATACTAAATGAAATATTTTGTTTCATTAAATGAATGAATAAAACTGTTTCACCGTTTATGTTATGAACTCACATGACTCCTTGTCACATACATTGAAAGATGGACCATTTGACATATAGTAGTGAACGATATATGAAACTATTTCATTAACGGTTATTGAAGTAGAATTGAACGCTTTATAATTTCTAATCAAACTAATTTTAAAACAAGAGATATCCTAATAAACGAGGAAACATATAAAAAATGAAATATTTTTGAAAATTGAAAGAAACATTTTGAAAACTGAATACTTTATTTTCGTAAGTGAAACTTTTTCATGCATAAAACGTTTCAAAATATTAATAAATTAAATTCATGAATGAAATTGTGTTCATGGTCACTATTGACCATGACATTCGTTTCATTACTCAAACTACATATATTTTTTCAATGAAACAAAATTAGATTTCATATTGTAGTGCTTTTACAATTCATATTTTAACAAGTATAATTTAATAAAATAATAAAAACTATTAATGGTAAAAAATTTATATGAAGAAAAATTGATTTACCACCTTCTATATTTAATGTCTCTATTATTATGTTTTCATAATTAAGAGTAATTATTACCTTCCAATATTAACTAGTATACAATCAAATGATCATTATACCTTTACTTATTAAAATAAAAAAAAAAACGGAATTTTCCTATTGGTCGAAAATGGTTTGTATAGTTTTCATGAATTGGTCGGTTGTAACGTAACCTCTCTCTCTCTCTCTCTCTCTCTCTATATATATATATATATATATATATATATATATATATATATATA